CATAGTAGCTCGTTGTTGTTAAACAGTATTGCTTGACACCATCTAAGTCTTTAGGTTACTTTCACCATGTTCGACAATCCAGTTGGCGTTATCTCTATGTATGTAACCCCGACTATATGTGATGCTGTTGTTTGTTAGAAATGAGCTCTGAGCCATCCAGGCTCAAAACATTGATATAGAAGGGTTTGAGTACTTAGTCTGGTGTTGGTCTGATCATTATCACATCGTTAGCGGTTGTCTCGTCGGTTCACAATACTATTTTAGCTGTCAAAAAAGCCTCCGCGCGCGACACGCGTGCCACTTTCGGAAATCACACTTGGTTTTCATCTCTAGTCGAATGGTTTTCTTGCTCACCGTGATAATATTTAAACAATGGAGCTGAGCTGACTCTTGAGGTGATGTCTTCTTATATGAGCGTTTTATGCTCATGTGGGCGCAAAGTCCGCAGTAAAATCCGTCGTTACGATCTGCACGCGAAACTATGGTGAGATTGCACCATTTCACACAGTTTCCGAAGAAGCTCGTTCCACCTGCCTGCAGTATATACAAAATAACTTTGCTTCACAGTACCTTAATGCAGGACCACGCTGGCTGGAGCTTTGCCTAGGTGTGCACTACATATACCACAATCTCATAACTTTCATTGCAAACCGACTAAGTTAAAGGTTCAGAAAACTTACGTCCAGGGTCAAGCAAGGGGTGTGGCACACGATCGCTGGTTACGAACACCCCCCCCCCCTGATTGCTGTCTTAATAAGACCCCCCCCCCGAACTATATACCTAAGATAGCATTACCAGAGTTGAGAAAGAGGTCAGGCACAAGTCTTTCGAAACCCCCCCCCCCCCATAAAAGCCCTCAAATGACCCCTTCTTCCCCCTCTTAACCTCTGGACCTCAAAGTGTGACATTCTGTGGCCATATTCATCAACGAACAACCCAGTGGGTTCCGAAACCCATTTAGTGGTTTTGATGAATATCGATTCTACATCGATATTCATCAAAAGCACTAAGCCATCGCGGTAAAAGCAGAGCACATCAGGTGTGTTAACCCTGTTTCCGAATTGAGTGTTTCATTCCTACCTTGGGAGTTCTGCCTCGACGTCATGGAGCAGAATCCCGGCAGCCTTGGCGGCTCTGTCGCGGGCTGAACCCTCTGTAAGGAGGGAATTACTCGCCTCTACGGCAAAATATAGCGTCTTACTTGCGCAATACTATCACTCGAGTGATTACCTCGTGCCGCTGCAATCGGATCGAATTCTGACAATTCCAATTTGCTGGGCAGTTCATCAGTGTGCACCTGTCTTAGCGCGTCTTGGAAACTAGTCGATGGCATGTCGCCAGGTTGCACTGCACTGCGGCTCTGAAATAACCCTGCATTAGTTATTTCCAGACTTTCTACACCCGTTCGCGGCTCCTCTATTCGCGAATTTTCGACTGCCGACTCTAGAATGCGCTGCACGATCTCTACTACTTCGGTTGAGTCCACCGTCAGAAATTTCGCATTGCGCAATCGTCATATTGAGCTTGTTCTAGCGTTTCGAGCCAACTTTTCTCCAGCTGGGCTAGATCCGCGCTTTTAGATTACTGAGCTCTCTACCTAGCTGCTCAACTTTGCGGACTTCTGACTCTAGTCTATCGCAAACATCGCTTATTTGCCGAAACTCAGTGCCAGTACTTTTAGGGCTTCTTTTGAGCTCCGCTTTTTGCGTGCTTTTACATACAAGGTTGCGAATGTCCGCTACTCATTCGCCTTGCTTGCTTAGTGGTTTCTTTTCTTGTAGAAGCAGAAGAAGAAGCATTTGTTACATGACGATTCTTATTTGTTGTCAGTGTACTCGTCGCTGGTGGTCTCTGTTTCACCTCTTCTTTTTCCTCAAGCTTTTCAGTTGCCAGTGTGTGTTCCTCATCAGTTGCTCCCAATGTTAAGTTCCTTTCTTCCTCTTCAATAACTTCCTTTGACGACTCTGAAGAGTCCTCTGTCGTGCTACTTCCAACTTAGAGGTGGTTCCATCTTCTAAATCAAAAAGGGGAAGAGTGGTGGAGGTATATCTGCTCCCCAACACTGTCGTGATCGCTCCGGACCCCCTTTTCAATGTCGTTTGGTTATCCAATGTGTCAAAATTTGTTCCATTCTTTCCTCTTTGCTTGAAGTCACTTGCGTCGGTGGCTGAGAACTGTATAACTTCACTTAATATCTCACTGCTAGGAGTGTAATAGTCTTCTGACCGAGTTGATTCCGTTCTTGGCTCAAAATCATTTGAAATTCCTGTTGAAGTGCCCGATAAAGCTGTATCACTAGCTGCAACCCTGTCAAGTTTTTCCCAGTATCCATATTGGTTTGCTCGCTAGAGAAGGTGCTATAGGTTGGCAAAATGAAAAGTGTGCTTAAAAATCCTTCCATGGTTGAAGAAATCATTTCATTTTTCGTGATGCTTGTGGTAGTCGAACTCACAGCCACGCTATGCTCGCGTGAAAAGGAAGTTGCATCAATAAATTGTGTACAATTTGGATACACTGAGATGTGTGTGGTGGTTGCTGTTGTCGCGCTCATGTTGTGGCTGACCGTAAAAATTCGAAACATAGTATTTTTTCCTGCTTGTTAGATGTACTGCTCGCCTTTATAGTGCTCGATTTAATCGTAGTCAGCGCACTTTGCTTTGGAGTCTTTTTTGAAGTTGATGTATGCGGGCTCTTAGGATGAAAACAAACAGTTATCACTTGAGGTATGTTGACTATGTTATACTGACTTGGTCTTTGAATTGGTACGACTTTGACATCACTCCAATTGCATTCAATAGAGGTAAAGTTTTGTCCAGTTTGCTCGCATCTTTCAGCGCATCTGCATGGACAAAGACCAGACAACTTTAGTTCAAATACCTTTGGCCTTGATGCAGCTACATTTACTACAAACGTAGAAAGCTGATCCGTCAACTTCTTGTCGTGACCAGAATCTCCGCAAAGTTTTTTAAGATAGGTGTCTCGCTGAGAAGTGGCAAGAAACAATTCAACCGAAGATTGTGAATACCTATAGCAGCTCTTAACGCGCATCAAATCATAAGATTCTATCAACCCTGGATTGCAGGTATCACTTTCAATTTGAGTGGACAGCGAATCAACTGACGGCATTTCTAGTAATTTTCTCGTACTTAGCCCTGAAAGTAAAGTATTAGTGCAGCAGTTTGCTCACGCAAAATTTTTATAGTCGCCCATTTGTTAATCATTGCTGATAGAAGAACACCAATGACGCTACTGGCACTAACAAATTCGAAATTTGCCAAGAGATGTAGAGTTATCAGTTTTTCTGAATCTATATCTTTCTATTGGAAGAAACTTTTCCCTACCAATAAGGTTTTCTGTTTGAAAAATGGCATTTATTTTCGGTGCCTCATTGCTTTCAAATCACCCTAATAGAGAAAAAGGCAAGGCGTTTTTGAGAATGAGTAACATATTTGAAACCATTCACTTTTTTTTCTAAAAAATTGATTAACCAAACTATATTTGCTCTCTGACAATCCGTTACTAGCTGAAACGATATATTTGCATATGCTTTCACGCCTTTCAGCGAGTAGCTCCATATTCAATGTACAATCCCCTTCCTGACACAGTTACGACGCTTGACACACATGGTGTGTCAAGATCTGAATTTAGTAATATGACGACTATCCTGGGACAAACTCACTTCAGAAGCTTTCTTTTCCGTTGAGCTAAAAATGACCTTCATCTATCTTGCCAGCTTCACAGAGCTACTATAGGTGTACTGTAGCTGGCAGTATGCGTGATTTTATGTGGACAATATTGACTAATTCGTGACAGCCCTTGGTCCAAAAGGCAGGCAATTTAAAATCTGTCTGGTCTCAAGGTGCTAAAAGACGCCTCAAACTTAGAATGCAATTTATTTTTCTCGTGTATTATATTTTCACATATTCATTTGTTTTGCATCCTCGCCGTTTAAGTGACATAACGTAAAAATCCTCATCCTTTGAAAATAGATCTAGCTTGTGGCACTACGATGCGAAATTCCATCACTCCAGGGTTTTCACACGCTTATCTAGCATCATCGTTTTCAGTGAATGAAAACTTTCTTATCTAAGTGTAAGTTTAAAAGCTGAAGCAGGCAAGTACATTTTTCAACGTGACTGTAAATGGCTTACATCTGCACTCGATTCCATCTACAGAAAGGATTTCGTTAATGTCGGGAAAAGATTGGTCGAGGAGCTGAGATGTAAGGCGTTGAAGTCGAAAAAAGGTTGTCCGAGGACACCATATGTAAGAACGAAGAGCAGCACGATTATCTTCACCTGCGTATTTGCCATCTGGAATCAAGTAAGAGTTAAGTAATATTTATGAAGAACTAGTCCTAGCCCAATTTGACATGTGGACTACATCTACAATCACAGCACAGACTGGGAAGTATTATAAGGGCCAGACGCAATTGGAATATTACCAGGTGAGCCCAATGCTGGCTCACAATAAAAGGACACTTACCTTTAGACAGACTTCAGGCTTCATTCTCATGTTTAGGAGCGAATGGCAGAAGTGTGCAAAGCGCTCACAAGACTAGAAGTGGTTCTCCTCGTGGCTTCGTTTGAACATTCACCATTCAGCAACGCGAAACAAAGAAAAATTATTTATCTTAACGCCAAAGACATTTTTTCATGTGGTAACCAGAGCAGCACAAACCGTCGCCACTTACTGAATCATAGTTTTATGTTGTTCTAAAAACACATTGCTAGAAAAGGGAAAGTTGATGCTTTTAGACATGCCTGTAGTAAAATTCTCGATAAATGTGTCTTGAGCATTCTCAAAGCCGAAATAAATGTAATGAAAAATTCTAATCATTTAATTTCTTGCAGCAGTAAGTGGGAAGGTATAGATAAGAGCAGTCTGATTGTTTGATTTATACAAAACACCTTGTATGTATGCTTCTGTTTTCACGAGTATATTCACAAGAACATCCCTAGTCGAACTATTGAAGGAAATTGCCCTACACTGCTGTTATTATGGTCAAGGACAGACCGGTTTACCCAATTCCTTCTGTGGACCGCCAGCGAAGACGAAGGCTGCAGTTTGATGAAACGCCTCCACGATCCCCTGACTTGGACGAGGCCGCCAATTCGCTATTGCTGGACGATAATCTCCCGCAATATGCTAAGACTATAATCGGATACTTGTTGGAAAGTCGCAAACAAATGGAGTCGATTGTCAGAAGCAATCGTGAGTTGATGGACGAAGTGAAAAAATTATCTGATGAGATTACTTCGCTCAAATCCGAAAACTAGATTAAGGTTATCTCTCAGATCAAAAAACCAGTCGGAAGCCGAACCAACCTCTGTGGATCAAATCGGATCAAATCTTCCGAGTCAAACCGCCGTGGATCAAATCGGATGGCAGGAACAAGAAAGAAGACGATCGTTCGTACTGGCTGGAATTCCGGAATATCGTGGTGGACCAAGCAGCGTAAGAGTTAATCATGATTCGAATTGTGTTTGTCACATTTTCGATTTTTTGAATATTGATTGTGCCCCTATTGCAATTTACCGCATAAGGAGACCTAGTTTTTCACGGGATAGATTGCTTAAAGTTGTGATGCCTTCAACTTTTTTTGTTGGACTAACACTTAAGAGAGCTTATCTGATAAAGAAATTTTCTTACAAAAAAGGCATATACATTAGGGCGTCCTTATCGAAAGCGGAGCGTGAAAAGCTCAAGAGAAAGGATTGCGAATAAGTGTTTCCAGAAATGAAAATGTTGATTCTCATGTTTCCCATGTTTCCTCTTCTGCTAATAGTCATATGGATGTCATCAATCACTCTTCCCATACAGATTTTGCTGATTCTTTAAACGCATAGTTATTCCTCGGAGAAAAGATAGTTCTTTTTCATTTTTTTTTGTTTTCTGACAAATATAAGATCACTGCAAAAAAATTTATCTATGCTCAGATTCCTTCTCGCTAATACCTTGCCATGTATATGTGGGATTACAGAGACCTGGTTGAAAGCAAGCTATGATATATCCGATGCCGCCCTTTTTGGCGAATTGTGCAGATTTTACGAGATATATAGATGCTATCGCAAGTTCAAGAGGGGCGGTGGTGTAGCCTTACTGCTAAGTAAGGCTCTGTGTCCACTTTTAGTATTCAGTGAGCCGATCATTGATGGTCATGAGTTACTTTGTGTAGACATTCATACCAGTACGAGAAAACGTCGAATAATATTGGTGTATAGAACGCCCTCCTGCCCACGTCCCAATTTCGATCAGTTGATCAAGGCACTCTCAGACTTGATGGCCGTGAATTTCTCGGCTATCCTACTGGGAGATTTCAATTTCCCTGATATTAATTGGAATACGTTGGAAGTTAATGGGTGCAACTCCATGTCAAGGAACTTTTTGAATATGTGTCTGAGCCAGAACCTCGTTCAAAAGGTTAGACATCATACCCATGAGCAAAACACTCTCATTTGGTACTTACCGACGTTGAGTTACTGGTTACTGCGGTCAGGTCGAACCTCCTATCGGAACAAGTGATCACTTGTTAATTAGTTTTTACATACGTTATGTAAGCTGTCCCGTTGGTGATATTGTTTTGAAAAGGGATTATAAAACTGAATATGTTGAGGCTGCCATTAGATATCTCGAGTCTATTGATTGGAATGGATCATTTGGAGTAGTCACAACGGTCAATGAAATGTATGAACTATTAATTTTTGCAATCCAACATGCAATCATTCCGCTAAAGGCTGTCCCATAAAGTGGACCTAAATTACCAGTCCACATTGTAAGACTGTTTAGAGCTCGCGAGTCGGCCTGGTTTAGATTTAGAGCTACTGGCCAAGTAGAGGATTTGCTTGCTTTCAAAAGGGTAAACGCCAAATTTGAAAAAAGACAAGAAATATAATACCTACTTAGAAAATAAGACAGTTAAGGGAGATAGGAACGCATTCTTTCGCTTGCTCAACGGTAGACTCAAAGAAAGGAAAAAAAATAGGTGTGATCATATCCGACACGGGGGTTACCATGACTTCAGACCTTGACAAAGCTGAAGGTTTTGCTGATGGCTTTGAAAAAGTTTTTGAACAGGATTCAGTACACATTGATCCAAGTTTCTTGCCACCTGATACGGAGATGAAAGATATACGATATTTCAATGACTATGAAATCTTTAAGGTGCTTCGGAAATAGCCTCCATCTAGATCATTCACACCGGACGGCATCCCGCTGCATTTCATCAAAGCGGCGGCCCATGTAATCTCTAAACCACTCCAATACATATATATTCAATTTGAGCTTAATGAAATCGGAAATTCCTGAACGATGGAAGATCTCTTCCGTAACTCCTATACCAAAAAATAAACCCTATACATGCTTATCCAATTATCGACCTGTGATCATAACATCGATTTTTTCGAGAATTTTTGAAAAACTAATCAAAAAACAGATAGTTAATCATCTACAGAAACAGAATATAATTCCCTCTGCCCAACATGGTTTCCAAGAGGGCAGATCCACCATTGCTTGTATGTTGTACTCGCTAAATGATTGGACTCATTCGTTGGATTCCGGGCAAAGTATTCATGTTGTTCATCTCGATTTCACGAAAGCTTTTGACAAGGTTTCACATACAAAACTTGCAATCAAACTCAAACAAATTGGTATCCATCCTATTATTATTTCCTGGATCTCCGCTTTTTTATCCAATCGCAAATTTTCGGTTCACGTTAACAAGACGTTCTCTCGCTACAACTGATGTCGAGTGGCGTGCAGCAGGGAGGCGTACTATCTTCAATACTTTTTAATATCTATACTCATGAACTTCCTGCTCTTGTTTCGAGAGCAGGAGTGTCCTGTTATAGTTTTGCTGATGATTTTAAAATCTATAAAACAATCACAACAATGGCAGATAAGGCTACGCTGCAAGAAGCTCTGAATAGCGTTTTTGAATGGTCGAAAACATGGAACTTGCCAATCTCTCGTGAAAAAACAAGTTAATCACATTGGACCTGAAGATTTGGACTATCAGCATCAAATAGAAGGAGAAATTCTGGAGTACGTTGATGAGATGCGAGATCTCGGCTTTCTGGTCTGTAGCAATCTCAGTTTTGATAAACAATGTGAAACTATTGCTGCGAAGGGCAATGCAGCCGTACACAACTTATTTCGTGCTTTATCAAGTAGTGATCCAGCCCTCCTTATCACAGCTTATAAAGTCTACATCAGACCTTTACTCGAGTACGGCACGGTAGTATTCAATTCTACGAAAGTCAGCTCTACACGGACCCTCGAGAAAGTGCAGAATAGTTTCACTAGAAAACTATGGATCCGAACCAAAGAGCTTGACTATGATGAAATAGTTGATGGCAATCGGCGCAATGAAAACTTTGGTTTAAATAGTTTAGCTTTTAGAAGAAGGGTGTTTGACCTTATAACAGCACACAAAATTTTGTTTAAAGAGTATCAGGTCAATCCCTCGGACTTTTTTTCAAATGAAGCGCTCAAGAACGAGAGGAGGGCCAATGAAGATAAATAGTGGTGCCTAGAGCGAGAAGGAATGTGAGGAGAAGGTTTTTGTTAATAGAGTAAGCAGTGATCTTGATAAACTAATGAGGAAGGGAATGCTCCATTATAAACTTCACAGTTCAAAGCAGTCTTGAAGAACTATCTACTTTCTCCATGAATTTGTAGTAGGATATTTTGATATGTCATTGTTACTAATACTTTTGGTTCATTGTCATTCGAATATGTTCTTTTTTGTTGATATTGCTGTTTTTTCAACATAGGGTAGCCTATGTAATAATCTTATGCCAGCGCATTCGAAGTTTTATCCTAGCGAGTTCATCATGACTGCACGATTGTTAAGTAAAATTTAAAAAAAGGGGGTCAACTTATGACAAAGGCTTTGATTACGGACATATTCAACGGCCAACCTCTACTATGCTTTCTCGTTGGAACGAATTAGCCCCTCATATCACAAATTAAGGAACTGCAACAAATATCGCGTTTATTCGCCCCAGTGGTCCATTGGTAGAAAATACTCACTACTTTCGTAAACTCATTTATCATCTAATAGCAATCCTCATGGCTTCAAAATCTTTCAAAACATTCGTTTCGTACCCCCTCTCATCTCATAAAGTAGAAGTAGCCTAGCTCGATAGCTTGGGCCTGCCTTCAAAAAAAAAAACTTTGAAAGAGGCTACGGTAGACTAAGTATTGCTTGAAATCATTGTGTACACGCCGAACTAAGTAATACACCATTTAAAAAGCTTTCCAGTGTTGCTCAAAACTGTATCTTAACACATGAACCACACATAAGTTCACTGTTTGTAACAATTTGGGTACCTTGCCTTTAGTTTTAGACACTCTTTAGGATGCCAACACAAAAAAATGTATACTAGCTAAATTGTGCAACCAGTTGTCTTTGCGTTTAAATAGTCCCAGGATCTGTTTGAGGTGCGAAATGCTCGCCGACGGTTTCGAGGTAAACCTTTCCAGGGGTAATCGCTCTGCGTAAGAGGGCAAAAGCTCCTTCAACATGGATGAATGTTAATGAAGCATTTTGCTGCCACTCTGTCAGCACTACTCAATAGTCCGGGTTTGTAATCTAAGATTTTGTTACCATTAGACAGTATGCCAAGGAAGCCGAAATAAGTGCTCACTTAAGAGCACTTAAAATGATGGTGGTTACTATCTGAAAACCAAAAAAAAAAAACATTTCGAAACTCCATTTGACTCTATCATCATTTGAAGTCGTGATCATTTTAGAATAAGCTGTATGACTTTGACATCGCAACAATCTTCCGTACATACATGTATATACAACAATTTTTTCGAAACGTTACAAAGCATCGAGCTGACTATGCTAAAGGTCGTGCATTAAAAAAAAGAAAAGCTGCTGTTTTTTCGTTTGATTTGTCACTTCATCTGCTCAATTCTTTGAAAACCTTTGGAGGCAAAACCTATGTTTTACTCTCATCAAAAAAGTGAAGAATACCGGCAATATCAACCTTTTCTTCTTTCAGTACCGGCTATAACTTTGATTGAAACTACTGGTCTCATACATTTAGCCACTAATCCAAGACTATTCTCAGCTTTCCAAAAAAAAGTAGCGGAATGATTACATATCCGATCACTTTGCAATTTCGCCAGATTTAACACAGGTGGATTTCAACCACCGCTCATCATCCATACAAGAAAAAATTCTCTAGCACATCATTAGAGAAGTATTTGAATTCAAGTGGATTCAGCCGCAATTCAAAAAAAAATTCCTTATGAATACTTATCTTTGAGTCAACTCCAGCATTTTTCTAATTGCAAGACAATCGTGCGAGACAAAGATACGCGGGAGCGAGGCGAAGAAACAAAATGCAACTACGCGAAGAAGATATTGTACAAAGACATTAATTTCTATGCTTCCGACTTCATAAATTTCGAAAAGTTGATCCATAGAAATTTTTGTCTTAATCGCCA